TGCACGCACGAGCAACAAAAAAAGCAGTTTATTTACGGCGACCCGCCACTGTGAGCTTGCCGTCCGTCCGGTTTTTTACAACGGGCGGACAGCAAGCAGTTAAAGTCCCATTATACACAACTATTTTCTATTTGCACTAGAAGGTACATAGTAGTAAAGGTGGTAAGGTACTTTGGTTTAGGGATCCTATGAACCCTGTCTATTCCGAGATCTTCAGGGCTTAAGTCCAAGATTAACACCTTTAATAAAATATCAAAGGTACAATCTGAGGTCAAAAGGCAAAAATAATTCAGTGAGATCCCTAAATATAATGTTCTTTTTCTGTGACAATCTTCTAGATAGACTAGTTTAGGTATAAAATGCACATTTATGTCATAGTTCGAGTTAAGGGAGTACACATGTTCATTGCGTGCTTTAGAAAAATTCTCCCATCTTGTGCTTTAACCCCTTCATGACTGAGGCCTTTTTTTCATTTTTATATTGCACCAATGTTATATTCCACATTTTAGGCCTGAAAATTACTTAAAGCCCCCAAACATTCTATATTTTCTGAATGCCAAGACCCTATAGAATAAAATGGTGGTAGTTGCAAATTTCTATGTTGCGCAATATTAGCGCAACTCCTTATTAAACCCCAACATTTAGTGACAAATCTAATTAAATGCCTCAAAACACAACAAAATACCCATTTTTTTATATAAAAGATGAGGTTACGACGAGTAAAACTATACCCAACATGCCCAGTTTACAAATTGCGTGGTTCCGTGAAACGGCGAAAAACTGCAGTACCCCAAAAAGTCCATAGAAGACGCTTTAAAAGCCCCCACAGGTCATCAGGTTAGAGATACCCAAAAATACTGGCCCTAGAATTAATGATCTCACTCCGGCGTGCGCGGCAATACCCAACATGTGTAGCACGTTTGTCGTTTTCATACGTAGGCGCACCAGGCACATGTTTACGTGTCGATGCGTACATTTTTTAAAATTATTATTATTTTATTGCATTTTAAAAACTGTTGTTTTTTTTTAAACTTTACTTTGACTGCTATCACATATGGGTGCTTACAAGCCCCCAGTGTCACCTTTACACTGGAAATAAGCTATTGAAGTGCAGATCGCACTTCAATAGCTTATAGCTAGGCTGCAGGAGCCCAGAACTGACAGCCCAGGGACCGGAAGTAATGCAATCTGCAAAAAGTGTCAACTAGAACTTGTGCTGCGAGTGTTTTGCAAGTCTACAACTTGCCAGGAATGTGTGAGACAAGTTAACAAGAATTACAATTTAAACCTATCACAAGTTTGTGGCAAGTTATCCTTGCTATCTGGGGTAGAGGCTGATCTCCTCTGTCTCATTTCTGTTGGGCTGCTAGAGATCCCACAGAGAAACTCCACTAATCTCCTGCTGTTGGATCTACAGCCTTCCCCTGTCGAATGTGCCTGCTGTTTGTCTGATTAAGCCACAAGCTGTGTGGAACTGAACGACCCTTTGGTGCCATCTTGGGACTCTGGTGCCAGAAAATATCTTGCTTGGTCCTTATTTATTTTTGCCTCTCTGACATGGCTAATGAGCCAGTGGGTGTCAGAGTGCAGGAGTTCTACATCGGGCTTCTCCCGTGTCTGTGCAAACCTCAGGTTAAAAGCTCTAACGAAGAGCTATACTAACATTTGTCCATCTTAGACACTGGTGGGCTATCTGTACTTTGGTCACATCACAATTAAAGACTAGTATGGAATGTTGTCTTGCAAAGAAATACCGGCTGGGCAGAATTTAATCTATTTCTACATTTCTGTAAAGGAAATTTGTACAAATTAAGATGGAAGGCTTCTATTGCTGACATTTCCATCTAAAAATCCCTGTTGCCTGACTGTAATGCTAAACTAATTGGTTTTAACACTTCATAAATCACTTACTTGGAATAGATAAGCAAATCAGGAATCCTCAGACTTTTCTAATCTACTGTATATGCTTGTTCTGGGGCAGCGATATGAAGAAACAGATAACCAGGCAATTGGCAATTTCCAGAGAAAGTTAGCAATTGCAGCCTCTGTGTTTTTCTAAGTGCAGGTTTCCCTTAACGAGATTGTCAAAGTTAAAGGAGTCACAAAATGTTGAGACTATACTTTTGTTCTAAAGTTAGATGGATCCAGTGACGTCACAAGGAGGGTGCGGCCCGCATTTTGATGTCACCCCTCTGAAAAGTCGGGCACTTGGCCATGGACCGAGAGCCAGACAGTTGCACGAGAGAGGAGGCGACCCGATGACATGCCTTATACCGTCAGATGAATGCCCCTTCCTCTTTCTGCCAGCGTCCATCACTGAGATAGCCGCTGGCAGGCAAGTGTGCGTGACATTATTAGGCGTTTGCGTGATGTCCCAGCGGGTTACACCCGGCAGCCGCTGGGGATACCTCTGGATAAATCAGAAGCTCACAGAGGAAGGTGCAGAATCTTTCTCACATGGCAAACTTCAAGTGACAAGGTGTCTATGCTAAAACATTAATGTGTGATTATATCACTATGGTTAAGATTTAATAATGTATTAGCTTGAAAATACATCTCTTATAGTATACAGTTAATTTAAACAAAATCATTTTTATTATTTTACTTTGAGCTGTTACAAAAATTATTTACTTAAAGTGGAACTCCAGAGGGAAAAGGCATGGAACCCCTGTCAAGTTTTTAAAGCAGTATATTTCCCTGTTTTCTTCACCTCCTGCCTGTGTGACAGTTGCTCATTTTATATTACAGTGGCAAGGAAATAATTAAATGATGTAGTCCCAGGGAAATGAGCCATACACATAATGTGAAAAAATACATAGCTGTATGACATCCAAAAAAGTACTATAAAAAGGAGAATGTCCAAATGTCATTAAACTGACCCTCTACCTTGCCCATACAGGTAACAGAGTTAGCCCGTCCCTCCCCATGCTCTCTTTTTTTGCTCCCCTACCACTCCTTTTAGCCACCAGAAATACAAAAAGGAAGCCCTTTTGAAGCTCCAAGTCAACTTACACAGGGCTGAAAACTCTTTCTAAAGCCCCATGTAACTTTCTGGGCCAAACACCAAGAGCTAGTGCAGTCATATAGGAACAGAAGGGGTGAGTCACATGCTCCCCACCCTCCCCCCTTAGTTGGAAATGGCAATTATTTTTCTTCAATCCTCTATTAAAAGTCACAGTAAGATCCAACCTGGTAACACATCTGTACTGTGCAGCACTGTGAAGTGGGCTGATGTGTGGCTAGGTCAAGCAGTTCCACTACAGTGCCTGTCTTCTTAAGACGGTGATGCAACCATGTAAAGAGAAAAGGTGGATGATTTATCATGTTAGTTGTGTCTTGTGATGCTGTGTTCTAACTTGGAGAAACATACCTAACTTATTGCATCCTGGTGGCTGAACAAAGTGGTGTAGAAGTAAAGGTAAGCTAGCCATATACACATATATTTATCTTGTTCAGTCTACCTGGATGAAGGAATCTCCTCTGCCAGCTATTTTATTACCCGGACAGTGACTGCACGTGATTGGGTGTAGTTATTGTTCAGCCGAAAATTTTTCACCAGGCTTCTTCAAATTTTCAGTCAAAGTTTGTCAAGCCAGGTGGTGCCAACAGCATGTCTCATGGGTTTTATCGGCCGATTCAGTAGGAAAAGGCTGAAATTCGAGCCCTGTATGTCCAGCATTAGTAGGCTGGGGAGAAGAGAAGCTAAGTGATCACTATAACTCCACCAACACTGATAACTGGAAAGGAACTCACCCTTTATAATGAATTACTTAATAAAAAGAAGATCACATGCTTGTTAAATATACATTTAGTATAATGCTTTACAATGGAATGCATCACGGTATAAACTAGCCCACAGCCTTAAATGCTCTCACGTAGAAATAAAGTTCAGACAAAAGAGGAAAACTTTAAAATAATGTAATATTGCATGTTCAGTGAAAAGAGAAGTAAAAGCATCCAGCAAATTTGCATGTTTAATGTGCACAAAAGCATTTTGAATATCGCACTATAAACCTTGTTTTTGCACATTGCTCGATAAATTCCAGTGTGGGAAAAATACAGTTTACAGTTCAATATCCACTTTTAAGATGTGAATTTGGAGGAAAATGTTACTTTCACTGAACAGACAACACTGATGATCAAAAAAATTAATTATGTATATTTTAAGTTTACTTAGGACTGCCTAGATGTTCAAAAAGTACGACTGCAACAATGCTCTGTTGATTATTCTGTAAATTCGATCTTTTTGATATATGTATACTGCATTATGTAAAGCTAAACAAAGCACCTCATACAAAAAAACAAAGTAATAAACCACCTACGAACCACATTACAAATAATAATAAATGTGAGACAGCTTTGCTGCCTTATGGCTTGCAGTCAGTGAGAAACTAATTTGTTTTGATCTGAAAAATTATGCATCAGAATGTCTGCGTAATTGTCTGTGTGGTCAAATGCGAATGCAGATTTCATGTATCATGAAAAACAGAAAATGTTGCAAGCAGAAGCAATTATGTTATTTAGAATAGCCACATCTGTGCCTGATCCTAATCCCAATTAAATGCTGTGCAGTGATCTGAAGCAGGCCATTCAAGCAGAGATTCCTACAAATATATGTTAACTGAAATATCTGATATACAAAAATGAACCATAAAATCTTCTAAACATCACATTGGTCAGATAAATGAAGATCTATAGAAAGTGTTTGCTTCCAGTCACTAAATGATTTAGGTGGTTTTAGTAAAAAATCATTATTGAAATTATTTATTCTGCATAAAAGATTCCATGCTCAGTCTACAAACATATGGCACAAACATATAGTTATGTTTATTATGCAGTAAAGTGAACACAAGAAAATTAGATGCCTAACTAATTAATAAACAACAGGACAACAGCAAAACAGCGGTTATGCATCATTGAACACAAATATAATGCTATAATATCTCACATACATTTTAAAATGTTACTGTAGGTTTTAGTTGACACACAATGTTTCTTACCAACTGTACTGTAACAGATGAACTCTGAAAGGAACCCGGGACAGGTGTGTAACCCTTTGCCATGATTTCTGAAAGTCTGGTGCAGGATGGATGAGTCTGATAAACAATACACAATGAACTATAGATATGAACAGAAAAGTAGCTGGACAAAATGAAAATACAATGATCAAAACAAAAAAGAATAACAAATAAAGATGTAGCATGCAGTGCATGAAAAGGTTTTACACACAGCTGAAAAAGAAAGTAATTATTAAATGTAGGTACATCCAGTACCAAGCAGGAAGTCCCAGTGTTAAAACAGGCGCAAGCTCCAAGATCCATCAATTATAATTATTAAGACAAGGAACTTGGCTAGTCATCCTTATGATCATGATATGCCTTGAGTCCATTTATTATTTTTAAAAAAAGCTCAGGGGTGGATTAGAATTCTAGTCTAAAAATGAATTTTACAAGGAATACTGGTACTGTAGGGCAATAGGCATGCAAGAAGTCTTGTATGCTACATGTGCTTAATATTTAGTAATAAAACAATGAGGAGACAGCTAAAAATATGCATGTCCTGGTAAACGTTTGACTGTCTAGTAGACATGTGCGATTCGTTTCGTTCCGAAACAAAATTTGGACAACATTTCGGAAATTCAGATGTATCCCAATCACAGCTAAAACGAATGCAAACTAATCCGAATTCCCGAAATTGTTAGCGGTTGTCCGGTCGAAATTTCGTTTTTGGACAAAATTTTGTTGCAACAAAATGACATTAGACCCTTTAGATCTGGTAGGAATTTTAAGGGGGAACCCTAGCCCACATATGCATGGCAGCAAACTAATGGGTTAACTCCTCCACAAAAATCGGATAGGACAGACTACCAAATAAATAAAGCGATCTTCCCCACTCCATTATTCTAATATTCTAGCCAAACACAATAAATAAACGATAATGACAGTGAGGGAAATCTATGATGCCATGCATATGTGTCAGGAAAGGAAAATTGCCAGAGGTAAATATACAATTTTCCGATTTCCTGACACAATCATGGCAGCATACAAATGAGATAAAGCAAGCAAAACGCAGGGTGGATACTGCACTCAAAATGTATTCTTTCTGACAAGAATCTGAAATTACAATAGATCTGCCAAAGCCCACTGTGGTAAGGGCAGCTGTATCCACTCTGTAGTGTGCCAAGAAGGTGTCATATGATGACCAGGTTGCTGTTTTACAAATTTCTTCAGGGGTGATCCCTCTAGATGCTGCCAAAGAAGAAGATACAGCTCTCGTTGAATGTGCTTTGATACCTTGCGGAGATTTCAAACCTCTAGCTGAATTTGCTGTATTGATGGTTTTGACAGGCCAGGATGCTACGGACTTTGAAGTTGCTGCCTGCCCCTTGCGTGGTCCGGCTGGGAAAATAAACAGGGTTTCTGCAGATCTGAATTCTGCCGTTTTGTTGATGTAGGTTTGAATGCTTTGTCCCACATGTCGCCGCTTTGTCATATTTGTAAAAGGTAGGTAAAACTATATCCTGATTCAAATGAAATGCTGTAGTTACTTTGGGACAAATTGAAGGTTAAGTCCTAAGTACAACCCTATCTTGAAAACATAAATTAGGTTCCTTATGTCCCAAAGCCTGTATCTCAGAGACCTTCCAACCTGAAGTGATTGCCGTGAGAAAGACTGTTTTTAATGTTAAACTCCAATTGTTAGATTTTTCTACTGGATGATATGGGGCGGAAGCCAAAAAAATCAAAGACAACGTTGAGATCCCAAGAAGTTGTCAAAGTCCTTCTAGGAGGTCTGACTTTCATACAGGCTTTAATAAATTGTACAACAGTGAGGTGAAGAGCCCAACTTTAGATGAAAAAGTAGATAAAGCAGATATACGAACTTCTAGGGTGTTAACACCTAAACCCATATCTAGACCTTGCTGAAGGAAACTTAGGATATGAAAAATATCTGGACTGGTAGAAAAAAAAATTGTTGTCGGTTGTAAAATCTATAAACTTTTTCCACACTCTGCCATAAACTGTATATTTGGATGGTTTACGGGCTTTAAACAGGGTAGCAAGGACTGATTAACTAAAACCCTGACTTCTTCACCTTTCCCCTTCAATTTCCAGGCCGCAAGACTATATCTCCCTGAAACGGGATCTATTATTTGACCTTGAAAGAGGAAATTCAGCAACATTGGCAGCCTGAGCGCAGGAGCTACTGCCAGAGATTGTGGAAGGGGAAACCAAGGCATGCGAGGTCAAAATGGAATTATTGCGATCACCTCGTCTTGATGTTTCAGGATTCTAAGCAATAGTTGAAAAATCACTGGGATCGGAGGAAACACATATTGCTAGGTTCGATTTCCATGGACTTGACAGGGCACCGACTGTTATGGCCGATTGAAATTTCACCCTGAAAATGAATCTCGGAAACTTTGTATTGATTGGGGTTGCCATTAGATCCATATCTGGATGACCCCAGTGCCTGCAAAGTTGGAGAAACACTTCCTGATTCAAAGACCATTTGTGTGGGTGAAAAATGCTGCGACTTAGGTCTGCCAAGTAATTCTGTGGTTCCTATCTCCGGCTTCGGCCACCTGCCTTGATCTAGTTCATCTCCTAGGTGTGCCACCCATCCACGCGAGCTGGCGACTGTGGTGATTACAATCCAAAACCCCATTTCTAGCTGATGACAATTGAGAACTTTCGGGTGTCTTTAGCCACCACAGAAGGGTCAATCTCATGGATGATGGTATCCTGATCCGTTGAAATAAAGATGTCCTGTCCCAGTGGTCGAGGAAACCTTTCTGGAAGGGTCTGAAGTTCCATCTGGCCCACTTGTCCATTGTAATTGTAGAGGTCAATCTTCAGACAATCGGATGCCGGAAGAGGTGTTCTGGATAGGATCACACTCACTCGCCTTTTTATAGTATGGACCATGTCCTGTGGAAGACCTACTGAGATGTTGGTTGTATCGAACAGAGCTCCCAAAAATATTATTTTATATGCTGGTTGCAACTGACTTTTTGAGGTTTATTAGCCAGCCGAATCTGTGGAGGGCTTGAATTATAATCTTCAGGTGCTCTATCAATGCTTCCTGGCACGGTGACTTCAGGAGAATGTCGTCTAATGATAAATTTGAAGTCCCTTCTGTGGAAGGAGAGCAATGAGACGAAGCAGGATCTTTGAAAGAAAGGGCCACAAACTGAAAATGATGGAGCACTACCATAAATCTGAGGAACTGCTGGAAACTCGGATGTATGGGAACGTGCAAGTAGGCATCGGATAGATCCAATGACAGCATCCAGTCATTGACCTGTACTGCTCAAATAATTGAAGAGACTCCATGCAAAATGACTGAACATTGATATGCTTGTTAAAACATTTTAAGCCTAATACTGTACAATATCCCCGTTTTCTTCTGAACCAGGAATATCGGGGAGTAAAAACCACTGTACCTCTGATTGTATGGAACCAGTATTATTGCTACTTGCTGGAGCAATGTGTGGATGTAGACTTGTAATGTCAATAGCTTGAGACAAGAATGTGGGGAATGCGTGCAGTCAAAGTGAGACAGAACTGAAATCGACTTGAACTCCCATGTGTGTCCTTTTGATATTGTATGAGCTATGCAGGCGTCTGGAATGTTTGGTCCCCAAACCTGAGAAAACTGAGACAGCCTTGCCCCCACGATTCCAGGCTGGACAAGGATACCGTCAAAACTGTTCTGAACTTCTGAAGGGTTAGCTGCCTCTGGCTTGGCGAACTGAAAAAAAGAAGCTCTGCGGAATTCCTTTCTGGGTTTGTAGGATCTTGAATCTTTAAAATTATTACTACCTTGTTTCCTGTTAAGTAGTGGATGACCTCCTCTGGCTCTTCGGTCCTGGGGCATAAGTCCAGATTTACCCCTGTAACTTTTGAAATCGCAGTGTCTAGTTTTCCGCCAAAAAGATTGATCCTCTAATACGGGATTTTACACCAATTATTTTTAGATTGCCGATGCGCTGACCACGGCGTAAGCCACATTGATCAATGAGCCATTTATCTTGCAAAACATTTTAGGGTGTCTATAGGTGCTTCTCCAACAATATCTGAAGCTAATCTAAGCTCATCCAGAGCCTTGATTATCTGTTCGGTCTCGATCTGAGCTCTAAGTGCCATCTCTATATTATCTGTCCACACACGAATTGCTTTTGTCCACGGAAGCACCAAAGGTGGTCTACAAGCTGCTCCAGAGTTTAGATATATTCTTTTGAGGTCCAGATCTATTCTTCTGTCAGAACTATCCTTAAATGTTACCGCGTCATCCATAGGTAATGTTACATGACGTGCAAGACGCACCACTGCTGCGTCCACGGGAAGAGAGGTTTTGAAAATTTTCATGTCTTCTTCACTAAATGGATTTGGAAAAGCAAATAGACAGGGAAGGTTTTTTTTATCCACTTTCTTCCACTCCTCTAAGATGACTTCTTTAATTTCCTGCATCATCAGAAAAGGAGACGGCATTTTTTAAATAAAGAGTAGTATTGTTTAGTCTTACTAGGTTCCGGAGTAGAATCTGGCCAATAAATAGCCTGTTTTATTGCAGCAACAAAGGGCTGAACCAACACAAAATTGAAGCCTAAATATAGCTTCTCTTCTGAATCTTCCTCAGATTCTGAGGATAACAATTCACATGCTGTGTAATTTACAGCTGTATTAGACATACCAGGCTTGGGTGTATCTGTCAGAACCACATCAGACTTTACCATATTCTGTGCCCCGGATCCGTTTTGAGTTGACAATGCCAAAATAGATTCCTGAACTGTTTGGCGAACCAAGTGCAGAATTTGGGAATTGTCTACCTTCCTCTCCTTAGAAATCTCAGACAAACTTCCCTCACAGACTAGATTGTCTCTTAAGGCTGCCTGACCACATGACCAGCATTGTTTTTTTAGTGGGCGCTCATTTCTTTCTGGTCGCTGAGAGTGGGAGTGGTGGCGAGGAGATCTTGATCTTCTTCTGGCATTGGAGCGGTGAGATCGAGAAGAGAATCTGTCTCTGGATTGGTGTCTGGGAGAGCTGCGATACAGTTTGTATTAAAACTTTAGAACCACAAAA